GTTTTTTTAATTACTTCATTTGTCACTCATAGAGCGAGCAAGGTTGATCAAAAGACCTAAAAAAACAGAAGACGTGCTTTAATCTATTGTGGGGAACTTTTATTTAACGCAGATGTTTTCAACCTCTATGGACAAGCATCTTAAACCTTTTTTAAATTATTTTTTGGGGGCTTTTAATGGAGAGATAAGACAGCGGATAGAGTTGGAAATCAGGGAGAGAGAGTGGGGAATGCAATGCAGGAAAGCAGCGACATGTGTGAGTTGAACCTGGGCCGCCCGCTTGGAAGTTGTCACTGTTCAGGTCTGTGGAGCCTTGTGTGTATTTGAAAGTTACAAAAGCCAATCAATGGCCTGGTTTTAAAATTCCAATTATTTTTACTGAAGTTATGCTGTTAATTTTACATACTGTGCTCAGGGTCTCACCTGTCTCACAACTACTGTTTTAAGAAATACATATTTTTTGTTACTTTTCTTCAAAACAGCAACCCTCTGAGAACATTATTTAAAGTGCTCACACGAGGGGACCCGGGCCCAGATTTGTGTACACTTGACCCCAAAGTTCAGTTAATTTGATCAGTGTGAACAGAACATACTGTACTAGGGTACCAGACCCGAGTCCACTTGAAGAGGTGGTATTGGGAACGATTCACATGTACTCCAGTACGGTCCGTGGGAGATGTGAAGGGAACTGTGCTCAAACAAAGAAGTGGACCGCTATATTATAAATATATGATAATGTAATTCTAAACGTCTCTGTCTGAGAACATATTTTAAAGTGCTCCACATCAGAATTTCAGTCAGAAGTCGCTTTGACTTTATACGATGAGAACGTTTCAAAAGTCTGGCATGTGTATTTTAGTTAAAAACAGGAAAACAAATTTGAACACTCACCTGGTGAGACGTCATGTTGAAACCTGTGCCATCAACGAGGTTGCAAGCACAAACGAGAACTGTCAAAACAACAATCTGAATATGGAACATTTTCTGCTGCCACAACTTGACGGAGTCCATAGTTATCACAGCATCTATAACCTTTTGTTTAAGTGTAGTTGAGTGTGACACCTTTTGTGACACAGTAAAGACATTTGAGCACAGGTACAAGATGTGTTAATTAAGGTGGAGAATGAAGTTAAACAAGAACTATTGAATGAAGAGCGAGTTGCAATAAAAACTAATACCAGGCCAAATGTGCACGACATATGTGATAATTGCAAGAACTTGAAGCGCTGCTTAATTTAATTATAGTTTATTATATAATTTTTATAATGACTGTTTTCAGCATGCTCATTGCTTCACTTTTATTCAATGCTGGACAAACTCTCCCGATTTAACGTCCCCGTCGCCACCTGCAGGTGGATTACAGACTTCCTGTTTTAAGAGAATGACCATTTGATGACCTGGTGCGGTCAGAACAACCTGGAGCTTAACGCTCTGAAAAGAGTGGAGGTGGTTGTGGCTTGTGAGCTTTTCTAGCGCTTTTCTAGTCTTCTGACTACTCGGCAGGTCACACCTACACATTCAGACCCATTCACACACCGCTTTATAGTAACCATTAGCTAATCCCGTTCATACCCCGCTGATAAAGCAGTGGGAGCAGCCTGCGGTTAAGTCTCTTGCTCAAGAACACATCTGATATGTGGCGGCAGGAACTGGGGATCGAACCCCCAATCTTCCAGTTAAGAGATGACTAACTCTAGCACTGAGTTATAAACTTACTGTAGTTGAATTTAGCATTGTATTGAATTGTATCGCACCAAATTGTATCGCACTGAATGACTCTAAATTAAAATGTAAAACTATCCGAAGCATATCCTGGTCTATGTATCGAGATGCGTATTGGGAAGGATGCACATTCTTACTGAGTAGTGTTTTTCCTGATAACTACAAACTGTCAAGTTGTCACTCTCCATGAATCTTTGCTGTGTGCTGTGAATGGCCTCCTGTAACCCAGACCTGGGGGGAGCAATTACAGTAAAAACTAGTCTGTGGGACTAGACAATCATGTTTTCTTTTGTATACGTCATGTAGAGACATCAGTCAGTTATCATGTTCCTGATTGGCCCTGCTCTGCATGTTGCAGTAAACAACATTTGGCTGCCTACACAGCATGGCTCTGGGAACTCGACACACAGCAAATTAGGTTAACACATTCAAATGGACAAAGCACAAGCAAATTAGGAAAACATCCAGAAATTGTTCTAAATTATCATCCTCATTATCACAAACATGATCATCACATTCTATTCTAAATGAATGGACGAGGGACAAGGGGCACAAAAAGTGGTGATTGGATGAACAATTCAGCTTCATTACTTGGTTGTGGTTATTTGTGTTAGTTTAAAACATTTTGATGTCAAGGAATATAAAACAATAGAATATGTTTATTGTCATTGTACATGTATATATATATCCAATACTGTGTTGCACTGCCCTGAGAGGAGTTCAAATAGAATAATAAAAATACATCTTAAACTTAAAACCAAACATGCTCATACAATGCCGTCAGATACAGCCTAGCGGTTATGTTGCATGCCCATGTATGGGGGGGCTAGTCCTCGTCCGAGGGGACGTGAGTTTGAATCTCGACCTTAACCTTTTGCTGCGTGTCCTCCCCCACTCTCTCCTCCCAACCTTTCCTGTCTCTCTTCAGCTGTCCTATCCAAAAATGGCCCCAAAAAGTAACTTAAAAAGTGCATACCAACATACACATAGACGTATGGTAGCAGAGAGGTTAGTAACTTATACAATAAATGATATGATAGAAGAGTTGTTCACTTTACGGTAAAAAACAGTAAAACCTGTTGGTTAGTCTGTTGGGGATTGCTTTAATGAAACTTTGCAGGTCAAATAGTCCAATTGCACTGACACAATGGATGTGGATCAGCATAGACTGACTGACAACCAAAAACTGAATTTATCTTCTGGTGCGTCACGTGACATCTAGCCCAAGGCTGACAGAAGCAACCAATGGTAAACAAATGTAAGGGGGAGAAAGAAGGTTCAGCCTGTTTATAATAACAAGGAAAAACATTGACAGTGAACAGCGTGACCTCTTGTCTCCTCACATGATGTGAAACTTGAACTACAGCTCCATGGCAGCCTTTATGTCGTCTAACTTAGCAACACAAAAAAGCCAGTTTCATGCAAACAGATGCTCTGGGCATGAACATACAGGAGCACAAACAGACTTCTTATTTTGAATGTTTGCTTCATGCCAGAGAAGTCACATTTCGGTGGCTATAGGTTGCTTTTTGGTGTAATGATTGAAGCAGATTCAGCCTTTTCTGATGCATCTTCCAGTGTGCAGTATGTGCAGGACGACACTTAAGTGTTTGTATGATATGCGCTAAAGGAATGAACAAAAAAAGGACGTGATAGTTTCTTACCGAAAATAACATGAAAACACCTCCACAGAGAGAACTTGCACGATACCATCGGTCTGATTGATTTAATTACACAAAAAGAGGATTAAGCTGCTAATAAACTCAAGAGTTACAGCTTAAACATCCCTTTCGATGCACGTAGCAGCCATATTGGATCTGAACTCGGAGTTTCCGAATCGTAATTACGACTTCAGGGGGGCGTTCCAGTTGACACTACCGACTGGGAACTGGCAACTTCCCACTTACGAGATCAACTGGAATGCACCATTAGCCTGTCGTTAGGTTGACTGAAGTTAGGCTGAGACAGCAATTGCAGTGTTTTTCTTTTTTTCCCTCTTGTACTGTCTGTCTCAGACAAGAGGGGGGAAAAGGTCACCACATGTAAGCAAAGAGAGAGCCATTTTGAGCGAGTAGAAGAAAGAGTTGAAGCAGAGTGAAGGAGGAGTTGGATGGCGAGTGTGGTGGTAAGAAGAACTGGCTGGAACTGAATTAAACCAACCAACACAAGCCATTATAGAACGTCCATGGAAATTACAAAAGTCGGAGCCTCGTTAGTATGTTAAATGAAACTGTGAAACTTTGGACATCTCCAGCTTTCTTTTCTTGCTGCTTTTTAGACACTATAAACATTTCCCATTGAGGAACTATGACTGAGTGTCAATGTGTACTTGGGCAAGACACTTAAACCCAACTTGCTGTTGCTGCTTAGTCAGTGGTGTGAGATAGTGTATGAAATTGATTCGTTAATACTGATGGACACATTAGCAGCCTCTGCCATCAGTGTTTGAATGTGTAAGTTTGACCTTTGGTGTAAAAGCGGTTTGAGTAGTCAAAAGACTAGAAAAGCGCTACAGGCTACAAGCTCATGTCCATTTACCGTTTACATATCTGGCCATGTCCTGATGTCCACGTTTATCTCTATCTCTATCTAAACATGGCGCCTTGTGCTTTTTAACCACCTTCAAGTGGACACTAAAGGAATTGCAGTTGTTTGCACTTCCGCATTGTCTACAGCAGGGGCCTTCAACAGGTAGCTCGGGAGCTACCAGTAGCTCGCGGGCAGGTTTTAAGTAGCTCGCCTATAGGTTGACCGACTGCGTTAAAAATATATACATATATCTGATGACAGTAAATGCACCTCTTCCTGCTATCCATATATTTGGTCCATTAAAAACAAATGTAAAGTAGAAATGTTTTTTGGACCTTGATGTGAATTTAAGATTATTGATGAGCATTGGCTTTTTACAATTTCACCCGTGTACAAACAGCAGCTTAATTCAGCTGATGTGCACTATGTAAATAAATGCAAGCGATTTGATGCAAGTAGCTCTTGGTCACTTTCATTTTTTTCAAAGTAGCTCTCAGATGAAGAAAACTGTTTCTTAGCCCTGCTTTAACCAATAAACAAATTAGACATTGACACCACAACCCGTTGTGTGTACCAGGCTGTAAACATGTTTATTCCTGCTCTATAAGTGGACAGTTTATCATCAGAGGGCTTTTGGAGTCAGCCTGAAGTGGACACTCGAGGAACTACAGTTTTTTTTTTTGCACTTCCGCGTTGGTTTCATATTTCACCTCCGCTTCAACTCTGGAGGTTGCCTCTCAGAGCAACGGAGGAAGGGAAGAGGCGTGCCGGCCGGTGGTGTCTGTGCGTTTCCGTGCCACTTCCTGTATTTTCGGCGGAGGGGCAAAAACTTTTCTCGGCTCGGACACGGCCGGGGACAAGTTACTTTTTGGCCTTCTGGCGTCAAATGGTTTAACTTATCATCTAAGTGTCACTGCATCGCCCCCAGCTCGCTTTTCCCCCCCCGAGCTGACAGAAAGTTTGGAGCCATGGCTGACGGACGAGAAGAGGAGACGAGAGAAGAAGACCAGGAGCTTCTGGGCGCAGTGGGAGGGGAAGGTATGTGAAGCCATGTCTGCTCTTATTCTCCAACACAAGCACAACTTTCAACCATACTTTTCTATTCTTTAGGTAACATTATTATTATTATTATTATTATTATTATTAACAAGGGATGTGAAAGTGTTCCTCTGCCGCGGTGAGAGTGAAACTTAAAGTTATTCAAAAGAGGACAAACATTAAAAACCTCAAATACCAGAGGATGTTTTCTCTCCCCCCATGCTTTCGGTTTTAACTTAAACTTGCGGGAAGATATGTTCATACAATCTTAAAATGTATGCATATTAAATCAGAGCCTTATAATGAACCTGTGAGGCCTTATGTCTGAACTGCCCTGTCATTAAAGTGCTCTGGTGACAAACAAGGTCATAAAAGAGATTTTAGACCGAGTCAGGTCACTGAGTCATAGAGCTACTTATAGGATTTGAAAACAAGGAGAAACAGACATAATTAAGTTGTACAGGTGTGCTTTTTTTTTTAATTTTTTTTTTAAAGAGGACATATTCTCAATTCAAATTCAAAAAACTTTATTTGTCCCCGGGGGGCAATTCAAAAATTAACAACAGTGCAGGTACGAAACATTTTAACCTGAATATAAAGTGTCAATTTAAATACAACTTAAAGCTTAAACTTAACTTAAAAATACAAAATATAAGAGTAGATATGAGTGGACAGTGATCGGACTAACAGATGTAAACAGAACTATGTGCAGTAAACGGGAAATTACCATATATATATATATATATATGTATTTGTTCTAGGCTGGGGGTGGAGTCGATGGGTGGGTGGTGGGGGGTTATTCCTTTATTGGAGGGATAGGACAGTGGATAGAGTCAGAAATCAGAGGCAGAGTGCAGAGTGAGTGGGGAATGACGTGCGGGAAAGAAGCCACAGGTTAGAATCGAACACGGGCCACCCGCTCTTGCTGACTACAGCCTCTGTACACTCTGCCCTAACCAAACGGCCACCGGCGCTCTGAGGGGATTTTTTTTTTTTTTTTACAAGAATCCAACTTGTGACATCACAAGTTGAGCAAATTTGAAACGGAGCATTTTTCTCTGTGTTGTAAGACCACAGACAAAGGACCAGATGGGTTTATTTCACATTTTGTGGGTGAAAAATCCACTTTGACAGTGTTTTTGAACATTTATTTGGGTAACCTGAGTGTCTACCAACCCACAAAATGTGAAATAAACCCATCCAGTCCTTTGTTTGTGGTCTACGTAAATCTTACAACACAGAGAAGAGTGCTCCGTTTCAAATTTGATCTGGTTAAAAAAAAAAATCCATCCCCTCCCCTGGGTGGTATCTCCACCCATGGACTCCACCCCCAGCCTAGAGCAAAACTTTTGCGCAGGTCAGCCGTTTTTATTCTTGCCACAGAGGAGTGATGTCTACCAGAAACCTCCTCTGCTGTTTGATTCATGTTATATTTTGACCAAAGCACAGCAAAGATGTTTCATTTAGACCACAGGGGGACTGTTTGAAAAAGGGTATATTATGTCCTCTCTAAAACAATGTGGGACCTTTAAGGCCCTGGCAAAGAACTAGAGGCGACAAAGGCGGCCTGTGGCGTTGCCTCATGTTTTGGCCAAAAAGTTGCACTAGAACACACCGCAAAGACTTCAGCCGACGGCCAACCACCACGTACGTTCTGCGCATGTGTAAGAGGAAATAACTCTCAATGCCAGCAGGGGGCGATAGTCCGTTGTTATGATAGGAGAAGACCATTTGTGGATGTGGCTCACCACTCGTATTATAGGTCGCCTACTAATGGAGAATAATGTCTGATGAAAAGTTGAAAATGGCGCTGGCGTTGTCAGTCCTTGGTCTTTTAATGGAAAAAAAAAAGAAGAGGCGAGAGCGTCAAATGAGGAGAAACCGCCCGAATGGGTGAAAGCATGGATACTACAGCGACATGCTCAAGGGGCTTGTCGTGTCGAGAGCTGGAGATGAATGAAACTCGAACAGCCAATCAGAGAGATTCCTCTCACCGACCACCGATTCCACATGTCGAATCGGCCGAAAAAAGGCAGACTGGTAGTGACACACCGCAAAAATTAGGGTGACAACAGCTCACCGGTGCTCCAACTAGGACCTCGGGCCGACGATGTCCTTGGTGTGTCAGGGCCTTAAAGAACACTGAAGCTTCAGTGTTTATCCAGCTCTGCATGGGTCTGTAAACCTTTCTGCGTTCTAACTTCTCTCCTTTTTTCAAAAGGATCTCCATTATTGATCCTAGTTTGAGCACGTTTCTGCTCGTGGAGCTTATTAGAAACATGCAGAGGCTTTTAAGGTCGGGTACAATCACTTCTATCTGTACCAGTGCTCGTTCAAAACGTCCGTCAAACCGCCTACTTGTGATATGAATCAGGTCATATAGGCCACCTCAAATTAGCAAGGAGCACATGACGGTATATTGCTACATGATTTATTGAGCACAGCCTAACCATATCTCTCCATTATTCTCCACTCCTCTTGTCCCAATAATGTCTGAGGACATATTTTAACTTTAAAACTCAGGAAAATGTCAAACTGAAACACCATTTTAAACTACATGTCAACATTAATATGGAGTTCTTCATTTCATACATGGTCTGCATCATTGTAGTAAAGATACGCCTAAGTGAAGAGTTTATATTAATACTTTTTTATAAATATGTTTTCAAACTAAACTAACTGTACGCTATTATCAATCTTCTCATTGCTTCAGATGTCATTGATGACCCCATCATTGATCAGGGAGCGGTGGTCCTCAGAGGGTAAGTTCATAAATAATCCAAATAAAAATGATTCAATCACAGATTTCCAACACAAAGTTATTATTCATGGAGACCCAGTGACTTGATTCTTCGCTGGTTTGATCAAATTAGACGGGAGGTCAGGTTGTTTCTGCAAAATCAGGATAATTGGAGAACGTTAATAATGTTCAAAGAGAAGGACCATCACACTGAGCTGCAAAGTGCGAAGCGATGTGGATGAGGGTCAGCACCTCCAAGTCCGAGGCCATGGTTCTGTTTCTGGAAAACAGCGGATTGCTCCATCAGGGTGGGGAGCGAGTCCTGGCTTCAACTGAAGGAGTTTAAGTATATAAGGGTCTTGTTCACGGGTGAGGGTAGGATGAACTGTGAGAGTGACAGACAGATGCCTCCTGGACGCCTCCCTTTGGAGGTTTTCCGGGGACACCCAACTGGGAGGAGACCCCGGAGTAGAGTTCTGTGGAGGGGTTATATAACCCGTCTGGCCTGTGAACGCCTCGGATTCCCCCCAAAATGTTGCTGGGGAGAGGAACGTCTGGGTTGACTTACTGCGCCTGCTGCCATGGCGACACGAACTCGGACAAGAGGAAGAAAATGGATGAAGAAGGACCATAATATTTTTCTATATAACATAACATTACGATTACATGTTGTATGAAACCCATCGAACATTTACTGGACTGGAGGGACGTTAAAAGAGCTTTTCAGCACAGCCTGTGTGTCTGTATCATTGAGAGCTGATCTGCAGTGCTGCAGGCGTTAACAAAAAGGGAGAAGAATTGGTGTCATTAATTTGTAAGAATTTCATTGATCTCATGTAGTGATTCAACCCTTTTCACAGTGAGTGCAGATTATTTGGTATCCTGATATCCTTTAAGCCTCCAGTCTGTCAGACTTTCATTGGTATAAACAACTCTGCTGGTGGTATTATTATTATTATTATTATTATCTAGGTCCACTTGTGGAGTCTACTTATACCATGTCTATATACATAGCATAGGGTATTTTATATGTTTTAATTGTTCCTTCTGTCTTTATCTGCTGCAGAGTCTTGCTTTCCTTTACAGATTCAAAATCGGGCGACGAAGCAGACAGTCCATGACCCTCACTCTGTGTACATGTCCTAGGTATGTGATTGAACGTATAAACGCCGAGGAGCCCGGTCGACACGTGTCGCCTGAGGATCTGGGAGGAAGGTCGAGTGAACAACAGGATCCACAAGTCAAAGAAGTGGTGGAACAGCTGCTAAAGATCGCTGATGAGCTGAACAGGAACGCCGAGCTCCAACAGTAAGCTCAGCGTCATGATAAAAAAAAAAAGATGCTAGGATCAGATCAGTCAGCAGAGGCCTGTGATAGATTTTTAATATGAAAGATATCTTTGAGCATATTAAGACTAAGTGAAATCAATCAATTTTTTGTTAATTGTGGTGAATTCTGCACTTTATTGTTATTTTTCCACCTGTAATGCAATCCTTCTCATTTTAGCCATATATTTGATTAATTAAATTAAAAGCCTCTTATTAATTAGATGCATATTTTTAATCGGTTAACAGCACTAAAATGAATCCATTGTGACATTAAAGTATTTTCTTGCTGTCATGTCAGACTCATCAACCAGGTTCCAGGCAACTGCGCCCAGGGTATCTTCATGAAGGTGGCCAGAAACATCTTTGCTGATGGCATCAACTGGGGTCGTGTGGTGGCTCTCTTCCATCTGGCCTACAGACTCATCTACAAGGTGATACACTTTTCAAATCCCAAACACAACAGAGCATCACATATTCATGTCGGGGTGCTCAATGTCTAAGTTGACGTAGATTTGTCTGTTTTATCCAAATAAATTATGACTCATAGCCTGTATAAGTATAAATATCATCTTATTTATACTTTTAAAGTAATTCCCAAAATATCGTAAATCATTCTCCTAAATCTCCGATTTCCTAAAACGTACCCTGTTAGCGCACTCACACTAGGCAGTCCATACCGTGCCTAAGCACGCTTCATGTACATGTATGAATGGCATTAGTTACTTCTGATGGATGATACTACATAGCAATCATCGCTACCATCAGGGTGTGAATGGGTGGGTGTGACATGTGGTGTAAAAGCGCTTTGAGTAGTCGGAAGACTAGAAAAGCGCTATATAAGCTCCATTTACCATTTAAGCACGGTACGGGACAATTTTCCAAGTGTGAGTGCGTCCTGAGAAAATTGAATGCTGTTCTTGAACCATTGCAGTAGAAGCAGATAAACATCGCACAAAAGTAAGGAAATTAGTGTTTGGTGGATTATGTCTTGGCTTCTTGGCAATAAATCTTATACCGTTGGAAAGCCTGTTTATTTCCCTTTTCAAATGGTTTCAAAACGTTTGTAAGGAACATGCAATTGTGGGATGAGCAGCAGAGCTAAGTATGTGGGTTGTGAGAAACTCTGAGTGAAGTCCGAGTGAAAAATTCTGCTGTTTGAGTTCACACATACAGCTCCTCCTGAAAATACGAGGAGTTTTTCAGGAGTTTTCTGGAAATGTGAAAGCCCTTTCCTTAAAGTCTGCTGACCTGAATTCCTTGGGCAGCTATTTTCCGTGCCTCAGGCCTTCGACTGCGACTGTGCTTTTAACCTGAGTTTTTCAGCTGTGCCTCAGGAACACATTGAATACCTCTGCCTTAGGATAACGGTAGTCAAAGAGGTCCGATATATAGCGTGGAGAGAGGCTATCGATAAGCGGAAAGGTCTGCAGTTCATTCCTAAGATTGATTCTAAAGAAACTAGTATTCAATGCAAAGAGGCTGAAGCAGGCGTAAGGTGATCACTTTTCTTGGTTCTGGTTAAGAGTCATGAGCATGGATGGAAACGGTGAAAAAATGTAGTTTGTTATAGTTGTGGGCGATATAACGGTATTAGATTGTGAAGGATTTTAACGTGCTGACGATCTGCCAAAGCAGAGAGATCGTAGAACCGGGCTAATGTGTTTATTCTATCATGCTGCAGTTTATGCTCTTACACAGACGCGTCTCCCTCCCTCCTTTTTTTGCTCCGCAGCGGTGAAAAGGAAAACGAAACTTAAGTCCGCAAAAACAACTCCATCCCGGTTATATGCAACTGTTCTGATATTTTTCCAAACTGACACAGCGTGAGCAACAGTTAACTTATCTGCATAGTTTGCATAGTTAAATTTACATCTCAGATAGCGACACAAGAAACCTTTTAACGAGCCGGAGAGACGTTAACAGTCTGCAGAGAGTCAAGACAGAGTGGACCTCAGGCAGACAGTGATGGGAGATATAACCCCGGTGTTTCAAATGTTGCTGTCGGTGTTTTCTGCTCTCTCGGTTTTTAAAAGTTACTATCAAGCCTCTCTTCCTGAAGCTCACCTGTTGTGATAACTGAATTTATAGGGATTACACTAAACGACGTTACAAAGCAGCAGGCAGGTGAGAGTGAGTAACCATGGTGACTGTCTGTCTGTCGATAAACAATGTCCCGCCCCCTCTATGAATTAAACTCTTCTGTCAGTAAAACTTACTTTGATCATGTGTCACAGAATGAACACATTATGTTTGATTATAAACAAAACTAAAGTTAGTCCAATGATGTCATAAAAAAACAAAGACTACAGCTATAGCTACGAAGCTATAGCTGTAGGAACTCTGCAGGGCTAAGTAGAACAGAAACACAAGAACTCGAAGTCTACATGTTTTTAAATGAATGCATCACTGCGTGAAAATGTTCCTGATGAACATAAAAAGAGGACACATAACTAAATCATAATTTCAAAGTGGTAAGGAATACCTTCAAATTGTTCATAAATATTGATCAAATTGAGGGAAAGACATTTCTGTTGCTAAAGATGTTCTGGGTGAGACCTCCAGACCTCCTGCAAAGATGTTTTTCAAATAGATTAAACTTGTCTGCACAGTTTTTGTGCATTTAAAAACATTATACAGGGAAATAAGTTTGGTTTGAACTGGTCAGTAACTTACAAATTTGTCTAAAGATCAGTATGAAAGAAATCGTGATAAAATCGTGATAAAACCGTGATCGTGATTTTTCCCCCCAAAAAAAAAAAATCGTAATATGATATTTTTACCATATCGCCCACCTCTAGTTAATTAATATTAATTTGTTTTTATTTCAAAGGCGATAACAAGCAACCATCTAGAGAACATCAAAATCATCATCAGCTGGGTTCTTCAGGTCATCAGAGAGCAGCTCCACACCTGGCTCGTACAGCAGGGAGGCTGGGTGAGTGATGGATGGTCTGTAAGGACCTGTCAGTCATGTGCTTAATTCATTTCTCACATATTGACCTGTCAGTAGGGTCCAAAGCTCTAATCCTGCTCTCTGTACCTTTCCAGGAGGGAGTGATCCGTGGGATTTCTCGCTGGAGGACAGTAGCCATAGTAGCATCAGTAGTATTAGTGGCAACTTTTGTTTACTACAGGAGAACACGCTGAGATCTGCAGACCTCACAACCAGGACCGCAGTGCCATCACTTGGGGAAACGCCACTGCATAATAGAGCCAGTTTCTAGAAACATTTACGACCACTCCTAAGCCTCCGTCTTCTAATGCAGAGGAGGTCAAATACTGTACTAAGAGGGGAAAACCTCTTTTCTTTTAAGGATTTCAAGAGCCAAAAAAGTGCTTTTACAGTCTGCTGTCCATCAGGCGTCTCAAGCAGCAACTTCAAACTTAATTTCATGGAATGACACGTTCAGCTGCATCACCACCCACAGCAGCCATTTGGAGGGTTTCCCCCCGGGTGCAGCAGATGATGGTGTTCATGAACAAAGGATGTAGCAGTATGTTTCTTTTTAAACACACTGGAGGACCAAACCCCACCTGAACCACAGGTCTCAAGATTATTATTTTTTTTTTTTGTGGTCCAACCTGAATTTGACCAGCTTCTATGTGGATCACCTAAAATGACAAGAAAAGGTCGGAGAAAAATGTCTGATGACAAAATATGCTGCAACTTAAGTTTGCTAATCATGATTCAACAATTACAGAGCAAGTTGGCTTTAAAAAAAAAAAAACGAAAGTGTTTCAGTTAAACATTTAACAGCTTGATTTCCAAAAGATCATGTTTACTCAAATGTTCACTAATCAAAAGGCACAGAAAACGAAACTCACCAAATCCACATTCATCACCAGCTGATGTTTCTGATGTGTTCATCTTATGTACTGTGTTGCTCTATTCGAGTTTTTTTTAAACAAAATATACTCAACAACATCTTTGATTTCCGCTTCGTCAAACGTGAAAACGATTTTCAGCCAATCAGATCTGATTTCCAACACCTTGTTCAATAAACTTCACACTGCAAACCTTAAAGGAAGAATATGCGACTTTTTGATCCAGTAGATGTCGCCCTTGAGTACTAAACCAAAGCAAACTGCTGTTTGGCGACAACTCCGCTATTCTCCAGCCTCCGCTCTCTTCCAGTGGCACACCTCCAACTCCTCTCCACTCGAATTCACAGGAAGGAGTTATCAATTAAAACGCACCATGAAGCGTAAGTGGTGGACACAATTGTCCTTTGCTTGAGCTGCAATTGCCTGTGGCCTGAATTGTTGTGTTAGCATACTTTAGTTAACTAATAGCTTCATAGTGATCTACAGACACTTACACTGAAATACTTTAAACCACAGACACTGGCTTTATAAGTGTCTCTGAGTCAGCTAATGCTAACTTTAATGTAAAAACAGAGCATTGGCTGTCCGGCATCTATGCACAACATGGTATTGCTGCATATGTTTGTTAGAGGGTGAAATACTTTACCGTTGTTGAATCAGCATTTAAAGAGTCAGTCTGTTAGCTAAGTAAATATTGAATGTGGTCTGCTGACTGTGAACGTACTGTGAACACGACTGCTTTTTAAACTGGCTCAACCGAACCTCACAAGTAGATTCATTTTAGCACTAACTTAGCCTGCTTTGCTAACAAAGGCAAATTCAACTGGTGCATTGGAGACAGGGTTGTGAAACTCTGTATCAGTAGGATTTAGCTTTTTCCTGACTTCATTTTCGCCTGATCTGATTCCTCAGGTTGAGATTTGAAGCTGTCACATTGGTCTACGTTTGAACTCGTACATTGTAAGAGCTTCAGTAAAGTAGAGTATGACAAAGCAGCCTGACTCTCCAACATCTCAACCTCGTCGTCATTCCCAGCTCGGTTGCTCTGTGTAGTATTTTAACATCATCCTCACATAACATTTTAACAGTTAACAGTTAAATTTGTTTTTATCTTCTACCGCTGCAAAAAGCATTCATTTTTTCTTGTTTTTTTATTTGTAAAAATCTCGATTAAGATTCTTGAAAACATGAGAAAAAGGACCAGACTTTAAAAAAGAAAAGAGTTGTTCCGTGGGTAAAGGTATAAATGTTTAAAGGGGTCATATTATGCTTTTTCTGGTTTTATATGCTCTTTAGTGTGTTTTCCAAGTGTCCTGTTCATGTTCAGGCACATCTATGTGCAAAAATTCAAAGTGCGCGGAAACGCGGCTTCTCCTACCTCCTCCTGTTAGCTGCTGCATGTAACGCTCGGTTCTAGCCCCCCTCGATAAAAATTGCCAGTGTGACGTCTTGTCAGTGTGAGATCACTGATCTAAGCCCATTGTCTCCCCTGCAGCTCATGTTGCACGCCCGTTAACTTCTGTAGCACGCCCACAATATGCCGTAGCCTGCGGTAGCACAGTAGTGCTAATGTTTATGCTCCCCTCGGAGCCAAAGTGGCTGCATTCCCAATATGGTAAAAGGGGCGTGACATTTCCGAGAACCGTGCTGAGTGACTGGTCAATTACGGCAGAGCCGACAGGCCGACCAATCAGATTAGGCTTGGCACACGTGGGGACTCTGAACGCGGGCACTTCAGAGCCTCAGAGAGAGAGTCAGAAGCGAGCCGGTGCATGGAGCGACAGTTCATGAAAACAGACACTTTTTTCAAACTTTAGCTATTGTGAACATACTTTAGTAGGTACAGGATTAAATATATGAACCCCAAAAAGGGCAGAATATGACCTCTTTAAATCATGTTTGTTGTTTTAGCTTTTAAGGGTATTATTTGTTATGATTTATTTTGGAACAGTCGATGGCTAATAACAAACTTTTATCTAGTGCCAACTGAGCTTTTATCAAATATTTTTACTGTCAAAATGATTGTGCAATGTTAAAGGGACGTTTACTATTTATCTGCGGTTTTCAGGTGTTTCGTAAAAATGTGACCTGCTTATTTTATCGTCAGTAAAATGATGTGATTGGACTCGAGTTCTGTGAATAAATATGTGTTAAACCACACATCTCGCTTTGTGAATTATTCACCACATCTGGGTAATGAGCTATCTAGCCGGACATATGCAAGATGCAACCTGAAAAAAAAGTGCAGTTCCAGTTTCTACTGACCACTTGAAGCATGCTGCAAATGCCCTTGGAAGTTCCATTGGCGACCATATTGAAAAGCTAACTTTTAAAGCAGAAAAAAACAGCAAACAAATAGCTCATGTTTTTAGTTGCACAAAATGAACAGGTGAATCTTTCACTCCTGACACTATAAATAATTTGATCTATTTAGGTAATTAACCATCTTAACCAGATAACCTTATGTGTGCTCCATTTCAAACAACCACAAAAAAATAAGTGACACACAAAATAACACACACACTTATTTTGGAGTTGGTCTGCTGTCAGATTTAAATTCATCTTGCTGCTGTAGATAAAAGACACATCCTACAGATCAGTGATGTTTTCTGGGTTCATTGGGTGTTTTGGGTCTCGCAACATCATGCGTCCTCGCCCATGCAACCCAGTCAGTTTTGATCAAGCCCCGACTTAAATCCCAGCAGCATTAGGCCATGAATCCCCCCTTTCTATCCACAGCCACCTGGAGACTTTCTCTGCTGCCCCCGTTGCAGTCCTGATGGCTGTTCTCCTCAGTTACCCTCTCATACTGAGCAGGGTGTAGACTCTGTGGAGAGAGCGGCCTGCAAAGCCTCAGCAGCTTACCTCAAATGGGTAACAGTTCACTTTCCGCCCTCGTTTCCGGCTATACTCAGGAAGTCCCTGGTATCTGGCCAGGGCACAGTCATTTCTCTCAGTGCAAGCTGTCTTTAGGCCTCTGATAAAATGACGATATCTGGTCACAAGCTCTGAGATGTAGTTTGGGCTGCTCTCCTGCCTTGATGAATGATATTGTACAGTAGTTTAGTCACTGCTCTTGATAATGCTGGTATTGACGGTCTAAAGCCAGACTGTCTCCTGTCATTTCTTTTCAATCACATTGATACCAATAGTTCAATATCTATAGCTCAAGACTAAAATAATACAAACATAAGAATATCAGATTGTCTTGATTGTGTCATTTTAGTGTCTGAAGTTTTGCACATAAAATTAGACGAAAATTAGACAATTTAATTACAAGACAAAGCTAAGTCCAATGATTTTCTAATTGACTGTCCAAAAACTAAAGATTCATAATTCACAATTTTTAAAAACAAAAAGCTGATTTCAAGAAGAATGAGAAAGCAGTTGATGCTCTCTTATTTGTTGTAACATCCAAATGCAAGATCTGCAATGAAACATGATATATATTGAACTTAAATGTAATGTCTTGGATACGACTCAGCTGGTCATAGAGCTGAGTGTTTATAAAATACCATGAAAGGAAATACAGGCAGTTTCTTCATATTCCAATAGGGCATTGCAACAGATTTATTTTTACAGCATTTTGTATTTATATCATAAAACTTGTCAAACACTACTGCTACATGTGCTGAACACCCACACTTTTCAACTGAGTTAACACTTTAGTTGATCAAGATATGACTCGTACATAAATGGTATCTGAAATACACAAGCAGACATCCAGCAGCACCTGAATTATTAACCACTGTTAGGAAGGCAAGTAGACTTAACTCAGCACAACATAAGAATTTCAATGATCCTCAAAGGTGTTTTGTTGGTGGACATTTAAATTAGATGTCATATGTATGTGATCCATACAGGAATGCCACACTGACCTCTGCTGGCCAATTAAACCTTTCTGTTAACAGTGATTTATAAGGAACTTATAAATCACTGTTAACAGAAAAGTATATTCTTCCATAAGTAAACAATGATTCTGATATAGTTGGACTTAGTACTTCCTTGACTACATGCACCTGTACTATGAAGTACTTTTACTGTGTACTTTTTCAGAAATCCATTGCTACCATTAGCATACTAACACAACAATGCAGCTCGCGTATCATAAACATCAGCAATGTCATAAAAAAAAATCATACCTTTTAGAATACACATGCTCAAAAGAGTCAAACACATTAAATTCTGCTATTCTAAAATAATTTATTTTCAAATAGTTAAGGACGAGACCTCTCGTTCAGTATTCATGAAGGATTTGGAGGGCCAAGGTCTTTGTTAATTATAGATGGATGGATCCTTTATTGTCATTGCAAATCACTACACAATGAAATTCAGTCCAGCCTCAACCCTTTGATACTTTAATAAATATTTTTAAATAATTCAAAGATATAGAAAGTAAGCAAGTTTATGGCACATAAGGAAAAAAGAATGCTTGAAATTACAAGGATTTTTACAAAATCAAGAAAAAGAAACTGTCATGTGTTACCAGAGATTGTACTCTTTCAAAAACCAACCTCTTCTTCATCATTCCCCCCACAAATTAAAAAATAAATGCATATGCTAAATAATGATATTAGAATTAAGTCTTCTCATGAGAGATAGGAGCTCAGCTGTTGAGTAGATAATACAATTACATTATAAGGAGTTGGATTTTATTGCAATCCCAATTGTTAGATAAATGTAGTTGTTGCTGTTCATAGTCTTTGTAATTTCATATGTATGTTCTACGAAAATGTTAATGTTTATAATAAATGTAAAAAAATGTCAGTATTTTTTTATTCGTGAAAGATTATTAATATTTGAAAAATGCTTGTATGTGTGTTTATTGCAATATATTAAAAGTGCAACATGTAGCTGTGAAAGAGCGAATCAAATTGGTACTGTCACATTCAAAACACTGCAGAGAGCTGTGCTGTGTAAGGGAGCTTGACAGTGGATTTCTCTGAAAGCACACAGTAAAAGTACTTCATAGTACCTGTGCATGTAGTCTAAGAAGTACTCAGTCCAACCATATCAGAATCCTTGTCTACTTATGGAAGATTTTTTTTTTTTTTACAAGACATCAAAGTCAGAAAAAAAGACTCATTACAGTGATTTATTAAGGACTTTGACAGTGGATTTCTCAAAAAGCACACAGTAAAAGTACTTCATAGTACCTGTGCAAGTGGTCTAGGAAGTACTAAGTCCAACCATATCAGAATCATTGTCTACTTAATGTAAGAACATATATTTTTATATTTTTTTCCAAGGAAAACACCTTATTTTAAAAAACGGAAGCTACTGCAGACTCGCAGTATCATTCTCAAACTAATTTCACCGACCTCAGAAGCTTTTCCCTGAACAGTATTTTGTTTACTCCCGTTTCATACACGTGTATTTCATAGCCAGTTTTATGGTAAGACTTCGGCATTTATCACTTTTGCCTGGAAAAGGAGATTAATAACAGACTCGCTCTCTCTGTCTGTTCCTCCTGCTCGCTCTGCAGTCCGGAGCATTTACCATAAAGATCAGAATATGTGAGCACTTCAGATTTAGGGTCGGCTCACTTCACCAGGTAAACTGGAGGAGCGGCTGGTTTGACAGCAGTCACAGACACACATACCCAGCTCGTATAACAGTAATGTATGAGAGGTATTAAGGATCCAATAAAGGGTGGCAGCAATCACCTCAGGGTGTCGGGTCAGGACACTATTTTTGATGCAAAGGTGTGTGTGAGGAAGAAAGATGGAGGATCCGGTCATTTATATAAATTTCAGGTGAACAGTACAAGGCATGAGTTTGAGGCCTTTCCTTTCCTTGAAATAATTGAACCTATGTGTATTTGTGTGTGGTTCTATGATTAAAGAAATAAAAGAAAGACAATTAGGAATGTGATTTACATAGAACATTCCAGAATACAGACTGCTGAAAACACTTAGCAACCAATGCACTTTTGCAGCGTAACAAGCTATGCTACTGTTATCAATTAGCAGCAATTAGTATGTATTTAAAGTAGAAAAATAACATCAGTACTTAGAAATTGAACAGGCAAAGTTGCTATGAACAATACAAAAGACATTCATTTCCAGCAACACTCAACTCACTTATCTCACGGACGCACAGAGTAATAATAAAAGTCGGTCAGAAATACACCAGTCCTTCTAGTTGAATCCAAATCTTGTCTGGGCACGTGTCAGAGGTGTGCTGTGCATGCTGCGTTCAGGGGCGCTCAGACAAAAAGCAACACATTCAGGTGCACTCAGAAACGGGAAATGCAGAACAAATACTAACTTGAACAGGCCTTTTTTTACAAGTAATGTAACAATGAGTAAGGTCTTTTACCTGCTTTTTGTAACATAACAATAAGTAAGGTCTTTTACCTGCTTTTTGTAACATAACAATAAGTAAGGTCTTTTACCTGCTTTTTGTAAAGTGTCTCGGGATAACACTTGTTATGAGTTGACGCTATACTATCTGCAAATTGACACTCGGGGAACTGCATTCTTTTGCATTTCCGCATTGGTTTTATTTATTCAGCTCAGCTTCAACTCCAGAGGATGCCTCTCACTTCCCCCGAGCTGACAGAAAGTTTGGAGCCATGGCTGACGGACGAGAAGAGGAGAAGAGAGAAGGCCAGGAGCTAATGGGCGCAGTGGGAGGGGAAGGTATGTGAAGCCATGTCTGCTCTACAGTCCAGCTGTGCAGCTCTTATTCTCCAATATGAACACAACTTTCAAAAGTGTGTGGGGGGTCTACACTATCCTGGAGCTTTGTTAGCTACACAGCTGTAGATACAGGCATGCAGAAAGTTTAGGAGCAGCTTCTCCCTGTGAAATGTGAGTAAAGTTCAGCTGTGGTTGGTGCCAGTGGATCATCAGCACTAAAATCTGATATGTAGGAGGGTCCGTTCAGCTTTGAATTCTCTTTTGCATCAATGGCCATAGTCTCGTCTCTTTCAAGGCGTTCACACTCCAGCTCTTTGATTTTTTATTGCAGCCACTTCAGGACCTTGGACAATAATATTATTTGGTATTAGAGTGGTTTTATATTTTCAGAACTGTTTAGGTAACAGCAACAATACATTTGGGTGTTAGACAACTGTACTACTAAATACTTACATCTTGTGTCCATCACGGTTTCCAGCAGGAAGTCGGCGGTTCTGGTGGAAAGTCAGTGTTCTGTATACAGGTGTGACCAAACTGCTTCTATGCATACATAAGGGTGTGCTTTTGGAAGTTCTCCAAATCTGAAGTTGGGTAGAAAATGCAGACAGAAAACAACCTGCTCTGTTAGTGACATACTTCTCACTTCCTCTTCATACTGCACCTAATAACATAAAGGTGAGCAGAGTCCTCAGCTTGAAAATCAGCTGGAGAGATAGAAAGAGTCAAAATATAAAGTGTGTCATTTTAAATACATTTGGTAATGGTCCTAGATAATAATGATTTAGCCATTGTTGATGTGAAAAAGTCAAAATGTGTTTGTATAAAAATCATTATGAATACAAGCATTTGCATGACTAGAGTCATACCTGAAGATGATGAACTTTGTAACAGGGGCTAGATCAAATGTGAACTTAGCAGAGAGAACATTTCTGCAGTGATGCTAACATGCTCATGTGATCACATCATTTTTTTTAAACCCTGTTTCCAATTACATTTTTTATATTTATGGACTAGGTCACAGAAAAGTTGTGTATACAAATGATCTTCCATTATATTTACATGTAGACATCAGCTTTCTCTTAGATATGCAACCAGTAAATTAAACATAGCGTAACTGAAGAAGTGGAAGGAATTCTTCTTCAGAGCTGCCCACACCATCTCCACAGCACTTCTGAACAAGATCCTCCCCATCAATACTGCAAAGAAACAAACATAAACACGATAGACCGGAATGACAGGTCAGTGAAATAATGCACCTACATGCTGTTTCTCAAGTCATGAGCCTCCTCCTCCTCATCCAGGGAGTGCATGCTGCAAACAGAGTATAGAAAGATATACAATTAGATTCTTACTATTCAGTCAACACAACAATGTGTTTGCGCGTTCAAGATGTAAGTCAAACTTACCTATATTCTAAGACATCAGCCTCCTCATCTTCCTCATTCAGTGGCTGAACACGTCAGGCAGCATACACATCTTTCCTGAATCCTGAAAAGTAGAATATTACATTTTAGCATTCAATGACAGTAAAGGATTAGATAATGTTACTCCTTGAAAACATACCTGTCCCCTGTCTGACTATGTAAGACTGGACTGTGGCAGGGATGGAGGTTGCATTTGTCCCTCTCTGGAGATCATGCTGATCGCCTTTTTAGAAAGCTGGTATAAAGTTTGAAGTCAGTATGCTAGTTGATACAACTGTACAGAGTATGTATAGTTAGTTTCAACAGCAACATGAGGGCAAAACTTTTGACCTGCGAGAACGTTAGCCCCATACACAGAGAATTAGGGCCACGTTAAAGAGGTCATATTAGTTCCTTTTTGGAGTTCATATATTTAATCTATGTACCTACTAAAGTATGTTTACAATAGCTTAAGTTTGAAAAAAGTGTCTGTTTTCATGAACTGCCGCTCCATGCACCGGCTCGCTTCTGACTCTCTCTCTAAGGCTCTGAAGTGCCCACGTTCAGAGTCCCCACGTGTGCCAAGTCTGATCTGATTGGTCGGCCTGTCGGCTCTGCCATAATTGGTCAGTCACTCAGCACAGTTCTCAGAAATGTCACGCCCCTTTTACCATATTGGGAATGCAGCCACTTTGGCTCCGAGGGGAGCATAAACATTAGCACCTTAGCACTACTGTGCAACCGCAGGCTACGGCATATTGTGGGCGTGCTACAGAAGTTAATTGGACTGCAACATGAGCTGCAGGGCTTGCCGCAACGAGCCAATGGGCTTAGATCAGTGATATCACACTGACAAGATGTCACACTGGCAATTTTTTTTCGAGGGGGGCTAGAACCGAGCGTTACATGCGGCTAATGCTACAGCTAACAGGAGGACGGAGGAGAAGCTGCGTTTCCGCGGACTTTGAATTTTTGCACATAGATGTGCCTGAACATGCACAGGACACATGGAAAACACACCAAAGAGCAGATAAATAGAATAGAATAGAATGTCTTTATTGTCATTATACAATTGTACAACAAAATTATTTGGATTCACCTTAAAGTGCACACACATACAAGCATCCACAGCTAAAAACAGTAAAAGAAGAAGAAAAAAAAAAAGGAACTCTCATTCAGGTAAAATGGGCAAAGTATGGTAGGAGTTATTTATAGGTAGTAGCATAACAGAATATAAATAGATATTGCAGAAATACAAAATAAATATTGCACAGTATGAAATGTAAAATATTGCAGAAATATAAAATAAATATTGCACAGTATGAAATGTAAATATTGCAGAAATATAAATAAATATTGCACAGTATGAGATGTAAAATATTGCAGAAATATAAAATAAATATTGCACAGTATGAAATGTAAGATATTGCAGAAAAATAAAATAAATATTGCACAGTATGAGATGTAAAATATTGCAGAAATATAAAAAATATTGCACAGTATGAAATGTAAGATATTGCAGAAATATAAAAAATATTGCACAATATGAAATGTAAGATATTGCAGAAATATAAAAAAATATTGCACAATATGAAATGTAAGATATTGCAGAAATATAAATAAATATTGCACAGCATGAAATGTAAAATATTGCAGAAATATAAAATAAATATTGCACAGTATGAAATGTAAAATATTGCAGAAATATAAAATAAATATTGCACAGTATGAAATGTAAAATTATTGCAGAAATATAAAATAAATATTGCACAGTATGAAATATAAAATATTGCAGAAATATAAAATAAATATTGCACAGTATGTGTGGTGAGGGTGGGACGGTCAACGCATGTCCAGGTTCAGTGTGGTTATGGCTCTGGGGAAGAAGCTGTCCTTGAGTCTGTTTGTCCGTGCTCTGACAGACCTGTAGCGTCTGCCAGAGGGCAACATGTCGAACAGATGAAAGCCGGGGTGTGAGCTGTCCTTTACAATGTTTTTTGCTCTGTTCAGGCAGCGGGAGTTATAAATGTCCCCTTAAGTGAGGGGAGTGTGCAGCCGATGATCTTTTGTGCTGTGTTTATTACTCTCTGAAGCCCCTTTCTGTCTGCTTCAGTACAGCTGGCGTACCACACTGTGATGCAGTACAGCAGCAGGCTCTCGATGGAAGAGCGGTAGAAGTTCACCAGCAGCTTCTCATTCAGGTTGTTCTTCCTGAGCACTCTCAGGAAGTGCATGCGCTGCTGTGCCTTCTTGGTGATCTCAGAGATGTTGGGAGTCCAGGAGAGGTCAGCAGAGATGAGGGTGCCCAGGAACTTAAAGGTTTGGACCCTCTCTACACAGACACCGTTGATGTGGAGGGGAGCTGGGTCTGCACGGTGCTTCCTGAAGTCGAAGATGATTTCCTTTGTTTTTGTGGTGTTCAGTGCCAGGTTGTTTACTGAACACCACGTTGTCAACTTCAGGATCTCATCCCTGTATGCAGACTCGTCTCCCCCTGAGATTAGTCCAACCACAGTGGTATCGTCTGCGAACTTGACAATGGTGTTACCGGGGTGGGTTGGGCTACAGTTGTATGTGTAGAGGGAGTACAGTAGTGGGCTCAGCACACACCCCTGTGGAGAGCCGGTGCTGAGTGTGCGGGTGGAGGAGACGTGGGGGCCAAGTTTAACAGTCTGGGGACGGTTTGTGAGAAAGTCTTTAATCCATGAGCAGGTGTGTGAGTGGAGGCCTAAGTCCGACAGTTTTTTAACCAGAATGTCCGGGATGATTGTGTTGAAGGCTGAGCTGTAGTCAATGAAAAGTAGCCTTACATAGCTCCCCTGGTGTTCCAGGTGGCTCAGCGCAGTGTGGAGAGCTATGGCTATGGCGTCCTCTGTGGATCTGTTTGCTCTATAAGCAAACTGGTGTGGGTCGAAGGTCTGAGGAAGGCTGGCTTTGATGTGGTTTAAAACCAGCCTCTCAAAGCACTTCATGATGACCGGTGTCAGAGCAACTGGATGGTAGTCGTTGAGGCTGTCTGTGGTTGATTTCTTGGGCATGGGTATGATTGTGGCTGATTTCAGGCAGGATGGAATGGTGGCTTGTGACAGGGAGAGGTTGAAGATGCAGGTGAAGACTTGTGAGAGCTGGCCTGCACAGGCTTTGAGCACCTTCCCTGGTACTCCGTCTGGGCCAGCTGCCTTCCTGGGGTTTATTGCTCTTAGCACCCGTCTCACTTCGTGCTCCTGTACAGTGAGTGTGACGGTGCTATGTGCTGGTGGAGGCTGAGGTGGTGTGGCTGTGTGGAGCTCAGTTTTCTCAAACCTTAAGAAGAAGCAGTTCAGCTCCTCTGCCAGCGAGGCGTCTGAGTTTCCAGCTGTGATGTTGCAGCCCCTGAAGTGTGTGATTTGTTGTATGCCTTGCCACACCTGTCGTGGGTTGTTGTCAGAGAGGTGGTCCTCTAGCCTCCTCCTGTAGGCCGACTTAGCATCCTTGATTCCTCTCTTCAGGTTGGCTCTAGAAGCACTGTACAGCGCTCTATCACCTGACCTGAAGGCAGAGTTGCTGTTTCTAAGCAGCATTCGGACCTGGCTGGTCATCCAGGGTTTCTGGTTGGGAAAAACCCTGATGCTTTTTTCAACAGTGACATTTTCAATGCAGTACTTGATGTAGGTCAGTTGTGTCTCTGTGTGTTCTGTCAGGTCCTGATGTTCAAATACATCCCACTGGGTGTTAGCAAAGCAGTCCTGTAGCTGAGAAAGTGCATCCTCAGGCCAAGTTGTTACAGTCTTTGTAAGGGGTGTAGTTCTCCTCCTGAGAGGGGTGTATGCCGGGGTAAGGAGCAGAGAGAGGTGGTCTGACTGGCCTGGGTGAGGGAGAGGTATGGCTCTGTATGCGTGCTTGATGTTAGAGTAAACATGATCAAGTGTGTTTGCACCCCTGGTTGGACACTTAACGTGCTGAAACCGTTTTAAGGTTTGCCTGATTAAAATCCCCAGCTATCATGTGAACTCCATCGGGGTGAGCACGCAGCTGTGTGTTTACTGTGTTTAGCAGGGTGGAGAAAGCTGTGCTAACATTAGCATCCAGAGGTATATATACAGCTGTAACTATCACTACTGTTAGCTCTCTGGGTAAGAAAAATGGTCTGCATTTAACTGACATGGATTCTATGTCCAGGGAACAGTATTTATCTATGATTATGATTTTGTTGGACCAGTCGTTCTGTACGTAAATGCAGAGACCCCCTCCTCTGCTCTTACCGGAGTCTTTGTTTCTGTCCCAGCAGTGGAGAGTGCGGCCTGCTAGCTGTACTGCAGCGTCTAGGATCCGCGGGTGATCATCATATCCGCAGTTATAATCATAACACAGCAGTTACGAACATAGCGATTCCTAGCCATTTGTAGTTCCAGCTCGTCCATCTTGTGAGCAATTGATCTCGCGTTTGTGAGGAACATACTGGACAGAGGAGGCTGGTGTGGGTGTGTCCTGAGTTTCACCAGAAGGCCTGACCGACATCCTCGCTTCTGCTTTCTCTCCCTCCGCCGTCTCCGCCGCCTGCTGGACCCGATAACAATCCACGGAGAGCCCGGTGGTCTCGCGACGTCGTCGGGTATATTGTGAGTGCGTTGAAAGTCGCCTGTGATAGGTAACTTGTGCCGAAAACCAATGTCGAGTAAGTCCTGGCGGCTATAACAGCAATTTGCACAAGTAATCACATAAAACACAAACGAAAAACACAGAAAATAGCACAAAAAGGGAGAGCCGTGAGCCGCAGCATGCGTGTGCGCAACCATCTTGGATTCATAAAACCAGAAAAGCATAATATGACCCCTTTAAATTTACGAGAATAAAGTCCTAAATATACGAGAATAATCTTGTATATTAAAGAGTTTGAGACAAGCCTGCGTGAAAATGATGAAAGTAGAACTCTATTTTCCTCTGCAGACAACTTCCTCCAAGTCAGTGTGGTTTTTTCTTCAGAAAAGCCACAGTTTCTTTCAGTATCTTTTCAGGGTGCTGATATTTTAAATACAATGCTAAGATGATGATGTGCCAAAGGTGTGTGTAGCTTCATATCTGCATAAGTAAAGCCCCAACACAACTATTTGTGTCTGTTATCGGTCTGCCTCGTTAAAGTGTCTCATGTGCAGAGACAGCTTGTGTCATGTTCATCATTTTACAGATAAACAAGGTCTCGCAAGTCCAAGTGAAAACTTCTCTTGAACAAACTGTTTTTACCGACTACACAGGGAAGTAGCCTTTCCTTATTAGTGAAACCTTTACTGAAGTATAACAAGATGCTCCACTTTTGTCATTTGAGAACAGGACGCTGCTGCTCATCTGATGTAGACTACAATAACAACTTTATTCTTTTATTCTTTAAAGGCGTTAAGGTTTCTCCTTTCGTCACTTTCGCGCAGGCTGGTCTCGAACTCGTAAATTTGCAAATTAATCTTGTAAAATTACGACTTTATTCTCGTAAATCTAAGAGATTAATCTTGTAAATTAAGATTTTATTTTCTTTAATGTGGCCTAATCCTCCGTTGTAGCCCCAAAGGCTGCTCAGATAAGTAGCAACAGGACCTGAACCCGGGACAATTTGTTGTCCATACGATCATGCTACGGGCTAAACTTTGCTAACAGGTCGACAACTTTTCTCGCCCTGCATCAGTCAAAGTCTGCCAGAAAAACGTTAGCATGCGTTGCTTACTCATCAGGGGACACTAACGTTATTCTGCTATTCTGGTTGTTATATGATAACGTCAGCTACCTGTCGAGACAGATTTAATGGGTGTTTGGTGAAACAACTCTGTAACTATGATACACAGTTTCAAACGAGAATTTTTTAAATTTTTTATTCACCAGTCCGCAGCATTCAATAATTCCTCTGGTCCGGCTTCTTGTTCAATCACGCTCACCTTTTCTCCTCTTAGCTTCATCCAGTCCATCAAACAGTCCATCAAACAGTACAGAGACGGGCTACGTATCTTCATAGTATAAGTGCTGCTGACTGCAGTAGTAAAACGGTACATACTTCTCGCAAGACTCAGCCCTATGTCTCTCGTCTTGTTTTTTGAACAGCTCAAGTCAACACCGATATGGTTTTCTTCATTTCATACATGGTCTCTTCTCTTTTCTTCTCTTCAGATGTCATTGATGACCCCATCGTGGATCTGGCTGCAGTGCTCCTCAGAGGGTAAGTTCATCCTCACACATTGAAAAAGTATCCAAATAAAAACGATTCAATCACAGATTTCCTATACAAAGTTATTATTCATGGGCTAATCAGCTCATATAAACTCAAGGTTGACCTTTTGGATATTTTGCCTGAGGGAGACCCAGTGACTTGATTCTTCGCTGGTCCTAGGTATGTGATTGAACGTATAAAGGCTGAGGAGCCCGGTCGACACGTGTCGCCTGAGGATCTGGGAGGAAGGTCGAGTGAACAACAGGATCCACAAGTCAAAGAAGTGGTGGAACAGCTGCTAAAGATCGCTGATGAGCTGAACAGGAACGCCGAGCTCCAACAGTAAGCGCAGCGTCATATTAAAAAAAGACGCTAGGATCAGATCAGTCAGCAGAGGCCTGTGATAGATTAAGATTTTTAATATGAAACATTTCTTTGAGCTTTTCACTGATATCATCCGACAACAGACACTAATTAAAATATTAAAGCCTTGAATTGGTTATACTTAAAGGTATAAAAGTAATGCTTCGTATGGCTTAGAATTACACTTTCATTTATGTTTTATTTTCTGCACAAGTCAGTTTAATACCATCAAGGCTGCAGCCTGAATAATAAGTCTTTAACTTTCATACACACCAGAGATGGGGACTCGAGTTTGAGACTTGAACTTGAGTCGCTCTTAAGTTGTACAAAGATTTAACCTAGAGACTTCACTTTGACACGCCCTCTCAGCGACTTTAGACTTCACCTGAACTCGAGGTTTGTGCCCAATCTCTTTATATCGTATATCTGGTGCGTTACCGTAACAAGCTTAATCTCGTTCCCTCCCATCATGTGGAACCCCCACGCGTCATGTGCGCGAGTGGCCACAGATGACAAGATGATGAGCATGTCACCTGGAGCTGCTACTGACGGAACGTCGGCTCAGGCATGAGGTAGTCGTCTGGAAGATGGACTGCCTCAAACGCTTTCTTTGGTCCGGACCAAATACGATGTTTCTCTTTTTGGTTTGGTGCGGTTCGTTTCCACATTGCACTTTTCACAAGAGGCCCTGAAATTTGTAAACAAAACAACGTGTGCAAAGATCGTTCAATCATTGGACAAAAAAGACCTTGCGTGCTGCACTCGTTGTCCTGGGATTGATTTGGTTCATACAGTTATAAACGTTTGCAGAAAGGTTTGAGCAGCAAGAGTGTTTGATACAACGTCGGTTTTATGATGTGATGCTTTCTGATATGGTCCTCTGCCCAAATATCCAGGAGACAGCGTGTCTCCTCGGCACTCCATGTTGAAACACAACTCATTTTTAGCAAACAACAACACTGTGCTGCTAACCAAACAATAATTTCGGTTAACAGCACTAAAATGAATCCATTGTGACATTAAAGTATTTTCTTGCTGTCATGTCAGACTCATCAACCAGGTTCCAGTCAACTGTGCCCGGGGTATCTTCATGAAGGTGGCCAGAAACATCTTTGCTGATTGCATCAACTGGGGTCGTGTGGGGGCTTTCTTCCATCTGGCCTACAGACTCATCTACAAGGTGATACACTTTTCAAATCCCAAACACAACAGAGCATCACATATTCATGTCGGGGTGCTCAATGTCTAAGTTGACGTAGATTTGTCTGTTTTATCCAAATAAATTATGACTCATAGCCTGTATAAATATCATCTTATTTATACTTTTATACCGATTTGTGCTCAAGCGCACTCCCTTGGCCCTAGCACCCTTGAAAGAGGTGTGCTTCAGCATGTTACAGTTCATGCACGAGCACAAGCATGAAGGCGGTACACAACGTCGACAGCCTTCATTATCGAGAAATCTCGGAGTGCTCTGGCTGTTTCTGACTAACATGACTCAAAATAAGACACAAATTCAGTAAAGTAGCTGTCATGTTTTCTGTGTTGTTCTCTGATGTGCAGACGCGGATTCGACCGCTGGTTCCTTGTAAACTAAGCATGCTTCATATTCACGTAAAGCCCAGCATGTGTTGTATGACGACGTCATGTACAAGAGGTAACCGTGCTCAAGCCCGGTTAGTCCTGGAGCAGTGTGAGTGTGTGTTCAGAATTTTTATTGGCTTAATTTGATTAGCCTTTATGAACAAGAAACTAAAAGGACAGAGGTGTTCAGCTCCCAATGAGCAATTTCATTTTAAACAGGGGAACGTTTTGATCTTCTTTTGATTTTCTCTTTTACAAGGAACATTAGTCATCAGCACAGTTGCTTGCAATTGACTGGCGATGGATCAATGTTGGATCTTTGTAGATGATATAACAAAGATTAATATCTTTTTTCTGCTCTTTTGTAAAGTGTCTTGAGATAACATTTGTTCTGAATTGGTGCTATACAAATGAAGATTGGTTGATTATTGATTAGCTGTACTGTAGATACGTCAGAATAGGGGCACGCACCTCCTTTCAACTCATGCTCTCATTGGCTAATATAGGCTGGAAACAGTGAATGGAAGGTCGTAATTGGCCAAATGAAGTGTCAATCAACTGGTTAAGAGTCATGAGCATGGATTGAAAAGGTGTAACATGTAGGTTGGTAATATTCATTTGTTTTGGTTTTAAAGGCAATAACCAGCAACCATGAAGAGAACATCAAAATCATCTTCAGCTGGTTTCTTCAGGTCATCAGAGAGCAGCTCCACACCTGGCTCGTACAGCAGGGAGGCTGGGTGAGTGATGGATGGTCTGTAAGGACCTGTCAGTCATGTGCTTAATTCATTTCTCACATATTGACCTGTCAGTAGGGTCCAAAACTCTAATCCTGCTCTCTGTACCTTTCCAGGTGGGTGATCCTGGCACAGTGATCCTTGGGATTTCTCGTTGGAGGACAGTAGCCATAGTAGCATCAGTAGTATTAGTGGCAACTTTTGTTTACTGCAGGAAAACACGCTGAGATCTGCAGACCTCACAACCAGGACCGCAGTGCCATCACTTGGGGAAACGCCACTGCATAATAGAGCCAGTTTCTAGAAACATTTACGACCACTCCTAAGCCTCCGTCTTCTAATGCAGTACTATAAATAATCACAATTTTATCTATTTAGGTAATTCACCATCTAAACAAACCTTATGTGTGCTCCATTTCAAACAACCACAAAAAAATAACAATTTAAGTGAACTTATTAACACGTTCATAAATCCAGGCAAGAAATGCAAATCAAGCTAAATAACCACACTCGAAAAATAACGCACACACTCGTTTTGGAGTTGGTCTGCCGTCAGATTTAATTCCATCTTGCTGCTGTAAATAAAAGACACATCCTACGAATCAGTGATGCTTTTTGGGTTCATTGGGTGTTTCGGGGTCTCGCAGCATCATGCGTCCTCACTCAGGCGACCCAGCCGGTGTTGATCAAGCCCCCGACTTGCGTCCCAGCAGCATTAGGCCATGAATCCCCCCTTTCTATCCACAGCCACCTGGAGACTTTCTCTGCTGCCCCCTTTGCAGTCCTGATGGCTGTTCTCCTCAGTTACCCTCTCATACTGAGCAGGGTGTAGACTCTGTGGAGAGAGCGGCCTGCAAAGCCTCAGCAGCTTACCTCAAATGGGTAACAGTTCGCTTTCCACCCTCGTTTCCGGCTATACTCAGGAAGTCCCTGGTATCTGGCCAGGGCACAGTCATTTCTCTCAGTGCAAGCTGTCTTTAGGCCTCTGATAAAATGACGATATCTGATCACAAGCTCTGAGATGTAGTTTGGGCTGCTCTCCTGCCTTGATGAATGTACAGTAGTTTAGTCACTGCTCTTGATAATGTTGTTATTGACGGTCTAAAGCCAGACTGTCTCCTGTCATTTCTTTTCAATCACATTGATACCAATAGTTCAATATCTATAGCTCATTTTTGTCTTGAAGACTAAAATAATACAAACATAAGAATATCAGATTGTCTTGATTGTGTCATTTTAGTGTCTGAAGTTTTGCACATAAAATTAGACGAAAATTAGACAATTTATTTACAAGACAAAGCTAAGTCCAATGATTTTCTAATTGACTGTCCAAAAACTAAAGATTCTTAATTCACAATTTTTTAAAACAAAAAGCTGATCTCAAGAAGAATGAGAAAGCAGTTGATGCTCTCTTATTTGTTGTAACATCCAAATGCAAGATCTGTAATGAAACATGATATATATTGAACTTAAATGTAATGTCTTGGATACGACTCAGCTGGTCATAGAGCTGAGTGTTTATAAAATACCATGAAAGGAAATACAGGCAGTTTCTTCATATTCCAATAGGGCATTGCAACAGATTTATTTTTACAGCATTTTGTATTTATATCATAAAACTTGTCAAACACTACTGCTACATGTGCTGAACACCCACACTTTTCAACTGAGTTAACACTTTAGTTGATCAAGATATGACTCGTACATAAATTGAATCAGAAATACTCTGAAATAATCTGAAATACACAAGCAGACATCCAGCAGCACCTGAATTATTAACCACTGTTAGGAAGGCAAGTAGACTTAACTCAGCACAACATATGAATTTCAATGATCCTCAAAGGTGTTTTGTTGGTGGACATTTAAATTAGATGTGATATTCATGTGATCCATACAGGAATGCCACACTGACCTCTGCTGGCCAATTAAACTTTTCTGTTAACAGCGTAACATTGGACTCCCATTGTGTCTATTCACTCAGACTCTTGGCATTTTTTCAGTCGCTGCTAAAATACTCGACTACCATTCCCCACTTCTTCATATTTTTCTAAAGAATAAAAGATAATCATTTTGTTCAAATTTACAATGATAAAACTATACGTACATTTCAGGCAGCTGATTATCTGCCTATGGTAGTGATCAATTCAATTCATTATAAGCTCTGAGCAAATTGATGACATTATCAACAAGAAATGGCAACACATCAATTACCTTCCTTGAGTAACCATTCACCCCTCCAAAGATCACAATATTGTACCTGTTCAAAAGGGGGAACATTTTCAACATACTGAAGGCTGTTCTTGATTCATTTGGATTTTTTCCTTTTAACATGCTTCCTTCCACAAACATTCTGCATGTACATTTATTGAAAAATTATATTTCCTGTACCTGTGTCAGTATATGATTTGTTTCAATTTGGACCAAGGAGAGAGGGCCATGCACAGAGTAACTTCTTTGTACTAAACACCCCAGTTGTATGAGCCGTAAGAATATCTCTGCATCATCAACACAATGCATGGATGCCATCATTCTCCACCGCTGTACTCGGAGACCCATTGAAACCAAACGGCCTTGTCCCATTTGATACCCAGCATTTGGCATCTGAGCTTTAACAAATGAGATAATATCGTCCAGCTCTTGGTCAGTCACTGTGCTGTATGATCCTCGTACAGACAAGCCAAATTCGTGCATTCTCCTGTAAATTGTTCTTCTTGAGACACCAAGGCGCTTTGCAATGCAGGAGACTGGCAGATGTGTCTCCAGAGAATTCTTTAGTTTGTCTTTCCCTATGATGATTTTGGGGTGTCCAGATCCTGGACCAGCCTCTGTTTCCTGTTCCACAATTGGCACAGAGCTGGCACTTATTTCCCTCTGGACAGCATGATAGAGGTATTGTAGTCCTTCTGTTATCTCTGATAACACTGCCTGTCTGTTCAGAGAATGATTCAAACAATAAGCGATCTAATCGGAGAAGAAGCAGCCTATCATTTATTTCATTTAACCTTTATTTAACCAGGTAATTAACCCGATGAGACCAAGATGTCTTTCACAAGGGTGATCTGGCCAAGAGGGCCAATATAAATCATAATTGAGCTTTCCTGACTCCCGATTGGTTGATTTTGTGGCACATTTGTTACAGCGTGCAATGTTGAGCGAGCGTACTGGCAAAGTTGAGTGCGCCAGAGTGAGCAGGTTGAGAAAGAGAGAGAGAAGAAATGTGAGCGAGTGGGCGGTGGCCTACCAGTGCACACAAAGAAAACTGAGGGAGAGAGAGTGTTAAAGCACACTTAGTGTATATGGATCGTTTCGGGCACTAAAACTGATTTAATGAACACTCTATTGATTTTTGTTTGTTTAAACTATGATTTTTCTCTTAGTATATTTTTTTGTGCTCAAAAGTGCCCATTGATTGCTCAGAAATGAGGCACAAATATAACACCATTAAATACCCTAGCTAAACTTACTCAGTGTATTGTGTGTGTGTGTGGGGGGGGGCAAACATTGTATCATGTTGCGGCTGATAACTGTGCGAAAGAGTGACGGTACGGCTCCACTGGTTCCAGCGATGGACAGCACTTCAACGCTTTCCATTCATTTCCTATGAAGACCTGGAGAGGCAGTCGCGCGATGCATTATGGGATCTTTGCCGGACAAGAATAGACCTGAAATCTATTCTATGTAAATGAATACAGCAACCTCCCGGACTAGCCATGCGTCTATCCAATCAGGTGCATGCATTGAGACTACTTCACCAATTGCGTAACCTACAGCGAAAAGGAGGCAAAACAGAATACAATAATATGCCGACCGCCATAAAACGGGTATACGTCCATCAAGCAGTGAGTTGAGTACAGCTGAAAATCTGGGGCCATATTCACAAAGCCTCCTAGGTACTAAGAGTTAAGCTTGGCTCACACTGCGATTTTCCCCCGATAGTATAAAAGTCGGGTGGCATGTCAGTTCACACTGTACGACTGAATCGTTTACGACGCCCGACCAGACCTTGAGATTGACGTGCTCACACTGTACAACCCGATTGTCGGGCACGGCCGGAGAGCTCACACTGTATGAGTGAAATCGGGACGGAGCGTTGACAATTGTAAATAAAGTTTCATTTGAAAACTCAAACAGACGACGGTTGGTGAATGAGAATGAAGTGGAAGTTGTTGTATGATATAGTAAAGTAGATACAATGGTAGATATATGGATACAAGTTTCAGAAAAGTGCTGCACTGATGATCTGTATCGAAAACCAAAAAAAAAAAAAAAAATGCTGTGTTGCATCCTGCAACTGGTTGCCATGACTACACTCCTCCTTTGTCTCTTGTGATTATATTGTAGTCACACACAACTTCTGCTGGACCCTTTTCACGACTACGACTACATGAGGAATAATCTTTTTGAGTCAAAGTCAGCCCAACAGACAAAAATGATTCATGCAGACATTGACTTTGACATTGACTATGACTTTATTCAGTACAAAGTGAGACATGCATGTTGAGTTTCTCTACATGTGGTTACCTCCACAGGTTCATCCAATTATTGATGTAATGATCAGCATGTGAAGAAGCTGCTGCACAAGTGGACATTTGATTTCAAACTTTGTGTAGGCTGTATACTTTTAAAGTACATCTTCCAAATTATCACACAGATTGTAATTTCATAGTTTTCACAATAACACAATGTCTGACTAGATTCTATGTTTGACTTTATTTCTCCTTTTGTTTTTGGATTAACCAATCACAGCTTCTGAAAAAATGTGTCATTCTAACAACGGGGTCAATCCCGCATTCTCTTTTTTAAAGATTTATTTTTTGGGCTTTTCGTGCCTTTAATGCAGAGAGAGGGCAGTGGATAGAGTCGGAAACCAGGGAGAGAGAGCATGGAACGACAGTCTCAATACATGGGACGCGCGCCCTAACCATTGCGCCACCAGCACGCCCCAATCCTGCATTCTCACTAAGATAAAAGTTTCTGTCCATTCCTTGCTCAGAGATGCTCTAAGAATGTTCCTAAATCAATCATAGGCTAAAAGTCCTTGATAGGAATTTTT